CCCAATCTATTCTATGATTCTATGATCTTTCTACTTTGTCGCAGGTCTCCTGCATTCAGGAGTACAGCCATGCTTTTTATTCTAGATGCAAGCCTTTGTGTTACCCAGAATCAAGTGACACAAGTACCAGCCTAAGCTGCTATCAATCCACTGATCCTGTATACTAATCTGTGGCATTTGTTGTTTAAATCTCAGTGCTTAGTCCTAACTTTCCATCCAGTGCTCATGGTAAGTTTCTCTTACAAGCCTGTGGTTTGTCTGCACCATTTGCAGTAACAACTCTGACAAAAGGATCTGCCTGCTTCCAGTAAAACTTGTGGGAACTGTTACATAGTCTCCAAATAAGGAGGAATTATACTTTATTAGGAATTTGATCTGAAAACTTACTCAAGTCAACATAAAGACACAACTGCAGTGAGCTATGGAGCAGCTGTGGGAGAAAGAAAAGCCTCACAGGACATTAATAGTACTGACATAATATTGAAAAGAAAAAGTTATTGCTAAAGATAAGCAGATTCAAGTTTCCTTCTCTTCCAGAACCATTAAAAATAATCGGCTTTTCACTTTTATTGATTTGGGAGGATGACAGGACTGTTAAAAATCCTTAACTAGACACGTGACTGAACCACCTGAGTTGTGCTGTAGATCTGTAAACACGTGATCTCTCAGAGAGCAGCAAGTTACTAGGAAACCTAATTGAAGGTGGGGAGAAAGGAAGTATATATAATCTGTTTTGATGCCAAGTTTCAACTGGTCTCGTTTTCCTGAAGCCTCATTCTGAAGCTTGTCAGAAACCACCAGTGGTATGAAGTAGTGTGAGACAATTGTTGCTTTCTGTATCTAAAGTCTGAAAAAGTGTATTTAAATTGATGTTCAGACACTAAGCATAACAAAACCAGCCACAATTACAGGTTTTGCAGTAGTGTGACTTCAAATATGTGTTTCTATCTCATAAAACAAAAAAACAAGAAGCCAAGATCTGCTTGTAAATTCAGAAGACGCGTAAGTGCGTGCACATCTAGATGCCACGCTGCTTTGTCTCAGCACACAAATATGTGTGCCATTTGACTGTGTTTCGAGTACTTTTTATGAACTTGCAACAAACAGATGGACAACAGACAAGTAGACACTACTATCTCAAAGGCCCAGAGCTGGCTTCTCTCAGAGAGAATGAAAGAGTTACTAGAGAGGTACCAAGGGTTCGGGCCTTATTCTGATTATGCAGACAATAAAGAAGAGTTAGTCAGTTCTCACCTTATCATTAATTAGCAGTTCAATTGGATTATTCCCCCATTCTATAAGGACAATTTCATTAGCCTGCCCAGGAACAGCATATGAGAATGGAGTGCCAATTCCAGGAGAAGCACTTGATCTCAACCACAAGCATACAGTAAAAGCATACAGCTCTGGCAGAGTCTTCTTGATCTTCCCATATAAGTAGTTTGTGCGAAGAGGAAGGGAGACTTTGAATTCATCAGGTGACTTAAATGCACTGCTACCTAGAATCACATTGAGGAAGAAAAACATTTGACATTAAACAAAACAATGTATTTGTAATTCAGGTTAAGAAAAAAATATTGATATTGAGAATCTTTGAAATTTTAATCACTTTAGAGAGGTACACAAAAAAATATATTGAAGTCGTATTACCAAATGTTGATTTTGCAGCACAGAAAAATACAACCAGATTTTATATACATCATGCTAATTACTTAGGGGTTTTTTTTTCCTGCTCATTTAGAGTAAAAGAATAGATGGCAGACAACTAATGAGAGGCTGTCACATGTTTTCTCTCTTCATTGCTTAGCTCATGGCTGAAGGCCTGCCTATTTCAAACAATTCAAACTGTTTTAAAAGATATTTACCACTACTAAACATGGAGTCTCTGGTATGCTCACTATTAAAGCATCACTGTGCTTCAAGACCAGTATTTCTTTACTGCTACACAAGGAGCTAGCAGCAACATCCCCATTTTACAGGTAGCAGGCTGAGAAACAAGTTGATGCTCTCATTTTGGGGGGCCAATTTGGAATAAGAAAAAGCCGACATATTCCAGAAAGCAGAGTTAAATTCAGTAGAACTGATTTCTGTCTCATAGACAAATCAAGAGATCTGAACAAAAACAAAGCTGAGATTCAAAGTGACCTGAAGAAAAATGCAATATAAAGTTATTAACTATGAAAACATTAGATATTTGTTTTAATATAAAAGCAGAAATTATTATTTATCTTTTTCTAAAAGATGTGATAAAAACCAGTGAGATATTCCAGAGATGTTTATGAAATTGAAAACTCTTAAAACCAAAACTTTGTCAAGTTGCAATACTCTGTATTACACAGTTTATGTATATTTCTGATGTAGTTGCTCATGAGTAATTTTCTAGAATTAAGAAGAGAGAAATCCCACATTGTGCTACAAAATAAAACCCCACAGTTCTGTAGTAGAGTGTCACCCTCAACTTTTTAACAATTTGTTCTTCTTGCTAATTTCCATTACTCACATTCCTGAAACAAATTCAATCCCCTTGCCAAACTTCACACTCCAATGAAGAGCTGTTATCACAAAAGGTTGCCACTATTCTCATATGCAATTTTTAAACCATTGGCATTCTCTCAGTTCCCATTCTCAGAAGCAACTGAAGTGTTTTGACTGCATTTATCACAGAATGAGGGGGTGGAAGAAGAAAAAGCTTGTCTGATGCTTGCATCTATCTCGATGAACTTATAGACCAAAAACTGAAATATTCTAAGAAAAAACAAAACAAAACAAAAAAACAATAGGGTCTAAGGGCTAATTTTGAGCAACCTCCAGTAGGCTGGTACAACTAACCTTACATATAACAAGGAAATAGACTCCATTAAGAGCATTAGTCACTCTGTGAAAGACCTTAAGGAAGCACTAATGGGTTGGAAAAGAACAAACAGTATTCATCTTTTTTATATTTTTCAGTTTGTTCTTGTGACTTTAAAACATTCACAACTCCAAATGATAACAAGTTCCTTCTGTTCTGGGCAATGGGCACATGCACAGGGTAAGAGAATCCTTTTCCTAAAGGATCTGAATTATGACACTCTAGTTAGTTGTCAGGAAGAGAGGCTAAACAATATGGCATTTAAAATAAAAGCACAAGAGAAATATTATTTTCAAAAGAGATCAGATCACTTCATGTATTGTCTGCATTTAATCTACAAAATCATTAAGTTCTTAGATCATTATTACCCTCACTTTGATTTGACAGAGGCACCAAAGGCACAGAACAGCTGAGCAAATTACGCAATCAAAAAAAAGCCTGTGTCTTGGTTCCTGGCCCAAATTCTTCACTTCCCTGAAGCCTTAAGACAGCCCTCTCTCCCCACACAAAAAATAAAGGTGGGAACAGGCTATTTTTACCCTAACTAAATTACACATTCTTGTTCTCCCACCACTCCCTTTCTCCTTCTGATGATCTGCTGAAATGAGTCACATTTTTCAGAGACAAGGACTAGCAATTCTTGCCGTATAAGACATTAATGGGCCACTAATTCTCCAGAACTTTAACTGCAGTTTAGCCTTTGTCTTGGCTCTCAGGAAATACTACACAACAGAGCCAATAGAAGATCTCTTCTTTTTCCTTCCCTTTTCCGCTCCTTCACACTTTTTAAATGAAAAATATAGATACAATATTACACACAAATGGATCCATTAGGCTACATTTTAAAATTCATGAGATATGTATGCTTGCACCATTTTGAAAGCAGGTCCATCAAGCTGCTTTTAAGCAAAGAGCCTATTCACCTTGGAAAATAATTTAAAGACTGGGCAGTGATATTTACCGGCACTCTAGTCCTACACAGTTGACTCTGTAGGTGTATATAGTCAATACAGAAAGACATTTCTGTTCTTTAGGTCATTTCCATGGGCATTTGTAACTCAAATAAGCAGACTCTACTCAAGCATAGACATCTCAGTAATAATTAATCTAGGTATCTGAATAAATGACTAGGATTAAGAGAGTGTCCCCCAGTGGCACCATGTGTAATCTGCTGTAAACTCTGAATCAGACTATATGCTTTGGGCACAATTCAAATAATTCTGCAATTACCCAAAGCCATAACCAGCAACAAAAGGAAAGAGCACCAGCAACACTTCCAAAGCAGCAGGAAATGGTTCTGGTATAAAAGGCCATTCATTAGCCCAAAGGCAGTTATGCTTATTAAATTTAGCCCATATGATTTTCAGTCCAAATAAAGAAAGGTAGCTCTATGTAGATGTGTACTTGACAGTACCTAGGTATCCACTTGACGCCAATGTCACACTTCTTCCTATTTCCACTTGCCTCCTTATAGGTCCTTTCATTCCACAAACACTAAGTTTCATCCTAACCACCCACCCACACATGCCAAATTAAGAGACAGGAAGACAAAGCCATGCAGAGACCTGTCAAGCAGGAAGCCTGTGACAAAAGGAAAAAGGGAATCCAAGTATTCGTCCAGCATCTTAACTATCTTTCCCTCAAGGCCCACATTTAGACTACTGCACTAGAAAGAGGGAGTAAACAAAATCAATCAGCACGGGGAAGCGTTTAGATTCTGTACAGATTACCTTTTTCTAATTCAGCCACTCTTTCTAGCAATGCATTCAAGGCTGTCTCTGTCTTCTGCCGATGGGCTGACGTCTCATTATGAAGCAAAGACTTTTCATCCTCAAGCTCGGCCACTTTGCTCAGGAGTTGGCGTTCCAGGTCTCCAAGCCTCCGTTGAAGCATCTCTCGAAGGTCATTAGGCAGTGCTGCATATGACACGTTGGCTCGGAGTTGGTGCTTTAGGGGAAAATAGAAAAAAAAAACCAAACCCTGTCATTTATAAAACAAAAACTGAAATGCAGATATGCTCCTGATTCAAAAGGAAGAAAGCAAGATCACCGAGATCTCCAGCAAGTGGAAAAAAGGCATTGCTTTTTAGCACTTGTCATGTTCAGTGCTTTTATCAGCACTGTAGCTAAACAGGTCCTGAAACAAAAAGACACTTTTGTTGGAGGCTTCCAGCATTTCATATGAAGGAGTCGTCATACATTTAAGTTTTATAAGATCAGTGTAGGGAGCCAGGTCTGATGCACTTCCATTCGTATGGTACATGTGGCACGAGTCAATTTTTGCTTTACTTACTGCAAGTGACATTGCCCATGTAAGTAAACAGAAAAACCTATTATTTCTTTTTAAATAAAAAATTAAGCTACCTTGAAAGCAAATTTACCAAATGAAAGTTGCCTCAGTTTTGATTAAGGAAGTCAGATGTTCTTTAGATCAACTGTAAGTATTAGCCATTGAAACCATTTTTATTTAAACTAAAAAAAAAAAAAAAAAAGCCAACCTCACACTCTCATTCAGAATTGTACTTGAAAAGCAGTCCAGAGTGTTCAGACCTCAGAGAATGACTTTTAGGAAGTTACTCCCCATCCTCACATCACCACTAAGTGTCTGGAGGACAGCAGGAGGACGCATGTAGCACTCAGGGTGTTGAAAGCAAAACAACATACAGCATGATTCCTGGGGGAATACTCTCTGTAAAATATTTCCATGAGTGCCACTCAACCATGGGCACTGTCCAAAGGCTCATGGAAATCACTTATCGGTGGGCTTGGACCAAATCCCCTTTTTATTCACAAGCATAGAGAATCAGGTTCTTTTTATTCTATGTCAGCACTAAATACATCATCTTATCTTCACAACACACCCAACACAATCTCCTCATTACCACTGCCCTATTCAGCACCATATGCCAAGGTTTCATTGCCCAAAATGTCAGGGTTATACCTCAAACCCCATGAATTCACATTCCCAGAGAGCTTTAGACATGTTAATACAGAAACTAAGCCGGTGACAAGCAGGAGAACCATAATCTCCCCCCACGCAGTGGGAGAACACATTCACAGAGGATCCCTTCAGATTTTTACCATTAAAGCAAGCATATATATAACCAAGAAAACAAGACAAGCCAACCAAGCAACTCACTCCCAGGGCTTGGCCGGTCCGGATTTACCTGCACAAGGACTAAGCACAGCACCAGCTGCACCCACCCAGAAGCCCAGAGCCCTGGTGCCAGCTGGGTCACTCCAAGTCCCCAGGCGGGTGGGCAGGGAGCTGCCTTACCCGCGCCCTGGCCCTACCTCCAGGCTCTCCAGCCGGTCCTTCAGCGTCTGCATGGTGCGGCTCAGCTGGTCGATGACCTGCGCCGGGTCCCGCGGCAGGTCACCCATCGTGTCCTTGCCCTTGCCCAGCTCCTTCTTCCACGTCCCCGTGGCGGACTTGCCGTCGGCGCTCTCGCAGCGGCTCAGCTTGCCGGTGAGCT